TGAAAATACTAATTAAGGAAAGAGTAGGGGCATAAGACCTAATCATTCTTTCTGTCTTTGATCTATACCTCTGTATATAGTCCTGTAATTGGAATAATATAATGACTTAAATGCTTCTATTTCCAGTCTTGTTGGAATAATTCTTTTTAAACCCTTTTTTTTCCGATCACTTGTTAAAAGCTGTTCCTTGCAGCATGTTGAAATGACAGACTAGAAATTCCACATTTTTAGGTAGGAGGTCTTTATTTTTTTCTTTTTTCTTTTTTTTTTTTGAGGGGGAAAAATACCCTTTGTTGCTGTGACGATCATTTTAAAACCACTAAGGGCAACTTAAAATAGCTTCCTAAGCAAAACACTGCTTTTTCTTGCCCGTTAAAAACATTCTGAGCTAGTAAACCCTCTAAGAAACTGGCTGCATTTACACTCAGTCAGTCTCAAACCACACACAGAGTAACATGGAAAACTTCGCTCACAAGCTAACCCTGCTCAATTAAAGCATCCCCCTTTTAGCCATCAACTGTCTTTAAAGATGTGGCAACACTGGCCCTGATTCAGGATGCCTGTGTAACTATTATGGGTGTATTGTAAAGCCAGGGCTTGCTGACCACAGGGTTAAGTTGTCTTCCCAGCAGACAACTTCTGAAAAGGATAATTTTGCCTCTTAACTCTTTGAGACCTCTACAAGCAGAAGTCTTCTTTTTCCTATTGTTTTTTCCCCTACTCCTTCTCTCCCTTCTTCTAAGGTTGTTCTAAGCTGTTGTTTTAAGTTTCTGTCTAAATGTAACTCCATAACCTCAGGATTTCTGCGGGAAGATGAGGAGGAAAGGAGAATGCAGTTTAAGTCATTTTACCTTTACAAATAGGAGCAGTCCTTTGGACTAATAGAAAAATCTCACATCTGATGCTGCTGACCTATCCCACTTTCATCCTCTGTGCTCAAAACCTTTCTTGTCCCACTTTTCCTATCTTCCATCTCTCATTTCTACACATCCCTTGTGCAATGTAGACCAGAAATGAGCTGTAAGCGATATGGACCAGGATGAGTCTTTCCAGCAGGCAGGTTTCTAACTGTTACTAACCGTGCAACTGAATATCCAATTTTATCGCTGGGCTCCTGCTGATGCTCAGCATGAAAAGATGGTTGGGGTAGCTGCTTTCCTAAGGGATGCTATAATATCCTAAAAAGAAAGATTTACTGGAGTTTGGTCTTGAGGAGCATCTGGTGTTATCATTAGTATAGATCCACCTTGATGAGCCTTACAAGGCCCAGTTCCCAGCCCAAAAGAACTGACAGCTTAAATATCCAGTTCCAAACATTTATTTATGCTGTTAATGTTTCTTCACGAGCAGTTCGAGGCAAGGGAACAGTACAAGAACACAGGATAAACTAAAAGTTTGAGAACTGTTTATGTGTTTTAGTTTGGAGGCTGACTGGGGAGTGTCTGCCTTCTTTCTTTTAGATTGATTCATTTTTTATTCTGTTTTCACTTAAAGACCCCTTATTTGTGAAAGTTTTCTAAGGAGAATAATATATTAATATGTCTGGGTTTGAAAAACAGCTTTAGTGTGCTAGACTGCCATGTGAAAATTACCCTACACTATATAAACACTGAAGACCCTATATATTCTTCAGGTTTACCTTGTTTCCAGCCATATAAAAAACTACAGCCACGCTCTAAGACTTCATGTACACAATCCATGCAGTGTTATACTAAGAGGCATAGATATAAACTAGATGCTTTTAATATTTTGAAACGATCCTTTTAAGGTTGAAGAAAATTTTCTGTGCATCCCTGAATGATGGGATCATTTCTGCAATAAGCCATAGGGTAGCCAGTATATTTCTAGTTTATTGGGAAACATTACCAACTGCATACATTTGTGCTTCCAGCCAATATTGATATAAAGAAAATATTTACTTGATTTCAGGTTTAAAGCTCCCATCTCATCTAAATCCCCTTTTCCCTAAAACTACCACCCATTTACCAAGCATATGTTAGACCTCCAGGAAAGGTTGTACATATTTGAGTAATTGTACAATTAGAAATAAATTATTTCCAGGCATGACTCATGTTTTACTTAGGATAAGCATAAAATGTGTAACTTGTTTTTTTCCAGAGGGCTGAGGAAGTTTCGCTATAATGCACCTTAATATTTTTAAAGTTTAGTCTTATTCTGTTTCTGGAAACAGGGTTATCCCTTCCTGGGGGAAGGGAGGGAAAGACAAAGCATAAGGGAAAAATGCGTAGGATACCTTCCAGTTCCTTGCAGGGCATCTCTATCTTGACTAATTAAGACATGTCTTAATCTCAATGACTGAATAGCAGCTCCACAAAGGAGAAAGGGAGGAAGGCAGCTAATCTTTCCCATGACTCACGCTCATACTCCTGCGCGCGGTGGCACTGAAGGCAGAGGGGCCGCTGCTTCTGCTCAGGCTTCAGCCCTTCTCCTGCAGAGCTGAAGAATCAGGCGCTCCCACAGCCGCTGACTGGAACTGCCTCTCCCATGGCTGGGGCTGGGGATGAGGCACGTGGGGCTGGTGGCCCTGCTCCGGATGGCAAAGCCGACCACGGGAACCAAGTCTGGCCCATTCCAGCCCAGTGGGCAGAGGATGGCGTCCTGTGGTGGGATACCCGAGCCCCACATACAGGCATGCACTAAACAGCTGCACATTCCTCCCTCCTTTACAGGAAGCTAAAGCCATAATTAGAATTAGTACCTCCCTGAATTGCATTAATCTTTTTTAATTTTTTTTTTCATTGCAATTTAGTTGTCTTTGCAAGGGCAAAGATTTGTAGGCAATGACTTCTTTATATCCTGCGAACTTTGGATGGAATTCAACTCACTTAGCTGTAAAAGGCAAAAGTTAGCATCCTGTCCGAGCTCAGTCATTTCAGTTGTCTCTGTCTGTAATTTATGGAGAGAAGTGACACTGTCAGGGGGTGACTCACCCCACCTATTGTAGGAATCTGTCTTAAAATAGGATTGTTCATTGTCACTTTCTTCCTTATGTCCCTCCTTGAGAGAAGACCTGGGTGAGTATAGGTTAGGAGTGTGACTTCTAGATGGCTAAAGGTAAATGAAGTGAGCATTACCCTTTGCATTTTATCACGCCGCATGTTTCTGGCAGCCCAACTACAAAGAGCTGCTGCCTCCCACTGTTATGGGTTGCTTTTTCATTTCTTCATGTTCTGGGATTTACTACTCGTTTTGCTGTTCTCTTTTTCTGAGCCTAATGAGTCTTCTCTGTAGGTCTTACTAAGGCATGCACGGTTCCACTGTCCAAAACTACTGCTGGCATTAGAAGGGAGTGATAGCCGGCAGGTAACCAACAGCAAACATGAGCACTCCAGTGAACCCAGCAGTGAAGGACTAGGTGTGACAGCTCTTCCAACTGGGCCACAAGAGCATGTTTAAAAAAGCATGAGCAGCACTTGAATGTACTGTACCATCTATTGTCAAAGCTCATGATGCCTTTAATGCTCCGTTTGGTTACATACAATCTAGCCACATGCAATTAATATGTGGGAAAACCTTCTATTGAAGCAATTGAGGGGGTCAACTGTGTGTATGGCAAAACAAACAGTGGTTTAAAATCATCATCATGTAATTTGTTTCCCATGCAAAGAAACCAAAAACCTAACTCACAGTTGGTTTAAACATACTTTTTTCTATGTTGTATGGATGGATAACAAAAGATGAGACAAAGATCTCACTTGCAGAACATAATGTGCTTTTCAGATCATGATCTCTTTCATTAAATTGTTTTTAGTCTCTTTGCCTTCATATCTTTTACAGTGTATTTTTGTTTGGATTTAACTTTCAACTTCAGTGTTTTCAATTGCGATTTAAAATCCTTAAATATTTGTGTTCCTTTAATTTGTTAGAAATTCTTCTAAATCTGTTCCAGGAATTGTATTGAGACATTTGTTTTTGCATTTGGCTTGCCAAGTAAAGCAATGAAATTTAATTAAAAAAAAAACCACCTATATTTGGAGTTTTGTTCTGTGAACGTGGATTAAAAAAAAAAATCTATGTGAAATTCAAAAGAATGCTGTAGAAGTATTTCATAGGTTTTCAAATTAAATGGCTGTTTAACTAACCGCATGTCCAGAAACCATACTGGAAGCGTATTTATGTATTTATTCACGCTTAGAGATCTAATCTTCAAAGTAGCCTTACAGGCCCTGAGGGGTAATTGAATATTTTCTTTAGGCTCATTTTGAAATCCGGACTTAAATTTATAGAGCTTGATGCCTGCATCATTTCGTTTTTCTGCTGACACCATTCTCTAGTGTCAGAAAGGTTCGAAATGGAAGCAGAGCTGTGGCTATTTTGATCCGTAAATTTGCTCTTCTGTCGCGAAGGTGCACATTCAGCACTGAAACACATCCCATTTTGTCTCAAGCCTTCGACTGTGAACTTTTGAATTAAGGACTCTCTCTTTGTCCTGTGTGTACTGTAGAGTTTGGTCAAAATTCCTCGAGGCTAATATGAAGAAACAATGATTAGAAAAAGGACAAAGACACAAAGATACGTTAAAAGCTGATAATAGTGTTCCCCACATCTTGCCAGTGTACTGTTTGCTCTTCCACCTTACACCATCCTCCTTACTGCTTTCTACTGCAGCCTGCCTTCTTATGAGGGACAAAGACTGTGTATTTTATTGCTGAAAGAATGTATTTTAGAGTCAAGGGTCTCTCTGCACCGTATTTGTATAGCCGCTTCTGTTTAAAGAAAAACATTGTTGATCCAAGTGCCCTCTGAAGAGCTCGACTATTGCAGCACATTGGGGAACGTCTTAAAAATCACTTCCCCAAGCATCTGGTTCATTTGTGCAAGACAGTGTTGTTGCCTGCTCTGCTGCAGTCAGGGGCCCCTGGAACTCACTGAAATTCTGATTTTAGTGCAAAATTTAAAAGAAAACCAAACTAAACCAAACCAAAAAAAGCATAAACAAAACCCACAACTGTTAAGCAGGTAGAGTAGGACTGGAGATCATGAACAAGGGAGCCAAGGAAGACAGTGAAGGACATATATTAAATTTTTGGCCCAATCAGCATGCTTATAAGGTGCGGGCAGAGACAGCCACACTTGCTTTGGAAGAGACCAGAAGTAATATAACTGCACAGCATGTCAAGGCAAGGCATCCTGTAGCACTCCTTGCAAAAAAGCAAATTTAAATAACCTAAACAGACCATTACATTGATATAGCTGATCTACTTTCATGCACAACAAGGAACTGTGTCCTTAAGACTGACCAGTCAGTTGTGGAGTTTGGTGTGCTAACTCGGGAATCCCAGCATGACACCGTACTGGATTTGGTAGATATAGTCAGTAAAATTGTTATAGTACAGATACATAGGAAATTTTTAACTTGGGAAAGCTGTCATTTATATTGATTTTTTTTTGCAAGCTCTCTCTAGTAAACAATAATATATTTCTGAACTTGTAACTGCTTCAATGTGTAATTAAATTAATTTAAATGCTATGTGATTTCAGAAAACCTACTAAGATTGATATTAGTGGCAAGAGGAGTAAGGCAGATTTTTGTAGACAATATTTTGTACTGAAAGTTATCCTATTTTCAAACAGAATGATAGCTATATAAGATATATGCACGAAACCAGCACACTAGAAGTAAATACTTCAGAAATCTATGGTGGTTTTTACTCATAGTAAGACACTTGCCACTACATGTCTATATAGTGATATTTTTATTTCACTGGAAGATGCAACATAAACACAGATATTGAAATAGAAATTTAATAGCAAGTATTAAGACTTCTCTTCACATTTTTGAAACCTTTTTTTGGGAATTTCTAGGAGCAAAATTCATTGGAACTTTTCCCATCCCGGACACCTATAACCCAGATGATGACAAAATCTACTTCTTCTTCCGAGAAATATCACAAGATAGTAGCACATCTGACAAGACAATCCTTTCCCGAGTTGGGAGAGTTTGCAAGGTGAGGGCTCTATCTTTTTATTTTATTTAAAGACAAAAAAAAAAAGAAAAAAATGTTTGTTTTGTTTCTGTGAGAAACCTATTTTCCCCTTCAGATCAGAAGGACATAGTGTTGTTATCCAATGAGCCATTGCAGTATTTTTTCTAAACGTAGATCACTAATACTGTCTGATGTTTACTTGTCTGAAAAATAGACTTGTGTACCTCTTTTTAAAAAGCTTATATGTTTATAATTTATAATCCCATGTCTAAACAATAATGTGTTGACTTTCAGATATGCAACAGTGACTTGCGTTGTTTCGTAAGCTTTCAGTGAGGATTGACTTGTTGATACACATTGACATGGTATTTGGGATTTTGTGGAAAGTGCCCGCTGAATGGACGGATATAAAATCCTGTCCCTTCAGCCTAGCTCAGTTCATCATTCCTGGGCATTACTGAGAGCTGGGTCAGCCATTTGTTTCTGCACATTCCTGATGATCAGTTGGGTGAGGGGAGGCTAAAAATTTGTATAGTTTCTGAGCTACACCCGCATATGCCCAGAGGTTTCCTTCTCTGGGAAGAAGTGCAGTCCTTGACCTGTTGACCAGGAGGAACCAGGCCCCAGGTCTGCTGCAGTGCACGAAGTTTAATTTGGTTGGTGCCTGACCTCCTTTAAATGATTACTCTCTTCACTTTCTCTTTCGTTATGCTTTGTTTTGACCCTCATGAAAGATTTTTGCCCCTGTGCTATTCATGACGCAGACTTGGATTTGCATGAGCTGCACTCTTTTTGAAGAAGCATCTCTGTCAAGGACAGAAGCTTCTTCAAATGCTAAGGAGAAGATAAACCAATTCCTGCATATGAAGACAGCAGTCAGTAGAGTTTGTAACAGCCTGCTGGTTTTGCTAAGGTTTTCTTTCCACTGCAGCAGAAGGGCCTATTGACTTCTGTGTCAGACATTCTCTCTATCTGTCCCTGTGTCCAATAATACTATAGGAACAGAAGCAGTCAGTATAAGTGCTCCCATCCTGTCTTTAGGTCTCCCGTGAGTCCAGGTACCCAGGAATCACTGGTAAAAGTCAAAAAATGAGACTTTAAAATTCTCTTCATGTTAGTAAATATAAGCTTTGAGCAAATGATTATCTCATGGTGAACTAGATATCAGCAAGACCATCACAGAAATCACACAAATAGGTATATTTCTGTGATGTTTTGTTCAGAAGCTTTCATTTACTTGCATTTTCTGAGAAATGTGACTCTGCTGGCAGTGAAAATTGTCTTCTTGAGAAGCTTGAAATTTAGAAAACTAACAAAAGAGTTTGTGATTTGCAGTAAGATGTGTCTAGGAGAAGAGCACTCATTCAGCTAATGAACACACACTGAAAAACAAAGAGTGGACACATACGTGTGAATATGTAAATCTGTAACTGCTCCGCAGTCCAGCCAACTCCTAACTCCTATCAAGATTTCAGTGACCACAGCCATTTCACACTTCTGTCCTTGACCTAAAATGTTGAGAAAAAACAACTCATTCATAAATCAGTTCTCTCGTAGGATTTTAGCCAGACGACAGAATGGATAATCTTTAGTTGGGTATTTCACGGCACTGTGATTAATGGCAGAATGGAAACGCAAACATATATGATTTGCTGCTAGACATGGCATTTGCTGATTATGAGAAAGCACTTAATGCATTAGGAGAAATTGGTAGACAACATTTTCCAGCCAAGGCACATGAGAGATTATAGTAAACTAAGATATATTAGCTAAAGATCTCCAGCATCCTTCACCTAGAGAAAAAAAGAGATAAGTTATCATAATAAAAGCAAATGTATTGTAAGGAAATCCTAATGACCATGCATAATCATCCCTCAAATGATACTGAGTTTGCAGAGTAATGATGTTAACGGGAAAAAAATATCTTGGATTTTATTTTTAATAATCAAAGTAAAGCAATGGAAACTGATAAGTAAGGTGTTTATTATTAATGTTAGTTTTGCACCGTCTTTATTTACTTAACACTTCCCAATGGATGCAGAACTCTCTTAAAATTCAGACTCTTGTTTTTTGTACATTTGTCTTGAGTACCTGCAAATGAAAAAGGATTCTAATACAAATTATTATAATTAAAATATAATTATTGTGGGTATTTAATATAAATTAAAATATGCAAATAGACTCTTCTGTTTATTGTCTAAGATCCTCTGGATCTGCACTCTGATACGAAACATCTGCTATGCTTAATTCTCTCCGATATGTGTTCGCTGTTGTTGGTTGCAACAGTTGATAACATAACAATTTCTACTTGGACTGTCTCATTAATGTGACCTGTACTGCATAAAGTCAAGTTTTCGCCTTCTTTCCTTAGCAAGTAGAGAATAACAGTGGATGAGAGGAGCCCAGCAACTTTTGAAATCATTTGCTTGGTGTAAACCCATTTTTTTTTCTACTAGAACTCCATTACTCTCCACCTCCCTGTGCCTTAGGGCTCCTGTACATTAATGTCAGAGTCATATGCTGAAATTAGAATAGGCTTTGTTTTTAATAAAGAGGTTAGTCAATGTAGCCTATTCTTTGGCTAATTTTCAATGGCTCAACAATGTGGTCTCTCACTGATCCTCCCCCTCAGGGAAAATCTTCTCTGGAAAGCATTCCCTTTTCCCAGCGACTTTCGGACCCAGAAGATTACAATACTCTTGCTGGCAGCTCTTCACCCAAAGCCAAACAGCTGTCACACGTCCTGTTCATAAGACCGTACTTACCATCTCGAAGCATGTGCTGCAGTAACACAGCCACTATAGCACTATATAGCACTAATTTAGACTTACATCATCTGCATTCTGTGCATCTCTAGGGGATATCAGTATGAATTGGGAGGAAGTGCTTTCAACAGTCACTTTCAGAACCAGTTGTGTAATTTATCATGGCAAACAGCATTTCCTATTTTTCATTTGAGGGAGACAGAAAAAGTGTCATTGACCTACCTGATACTACTTATGGTACGTTCCTACTTACATAAAGTGTAATCTGTTGGGTTATTTGCTTTATTTTCAAGTAAGATCATAAGTAAAAAGAAAAAAAAATACTATTAAAGATTAGCCAGCAATGTTTATTTTTTTTTAAACACCTACAGATACACATGTGTATTACATGATCATACAAACCTTAACTTCTTAAGAGCATGGATGTACCTATTTCTGTTTCTAGAAACACAGGCATAAGCTTT